GTAATAACATAGCTAACTTGTACATCACGAAATTTATTCTATACGTAGAAGCACTGAGAAACTATTTCGATGTTGTACGCATGCGCATAGTTTACCGAACAATAAATCGGACAACGCGTGTAGGCGCACGCACCGAAACGCTTCGCTAGTATTTAATTCGTGTTGATATCCTTCGAAGGCTGTGAATCAGATCGACTATAAGATTTCTTAATGTGATTTTATGCTACGCCACCTTTCGATACGAACAGTAAACTGATTGTCCTCGAAATTCTCCTTGGTACTGGATGCGTTCGATATATTCGCCCGCACGAAATCGAAGCGCAATCTCGATGTAGTGATGCAAAAACAAATGTACACATGATGGGGTTCCACACGCTTGGGGCAACCGACCGTTCCACGAATCTTTTATCGTTCCTTTCTTTTCGTATTCGTGTGTATGTCGTGTATAGGATGAAAAGTCATTTTTTTTTTTGCTTTTACTTGTTGCGTGGTAGCAGCCATAGGCTAGGCGAACATTTTTAAAACGCCATGTTCTATTTTTAACGTATGGAGGTATTAATTCAATAAACGAGACGCATTAGTACGATGTGTTGTTAATATACTGCAGATCGAATGAATTATACTTTAACAGACGTATAAAATTTTAAAAAAAATTTCTAACTGAAATCGTACCTAACCAAGCGTCTATTAATTACGACACAACACAACCGAAACCTGCAATGAGATTCTTCACAATTCACTTGAAATTTGCCTGAAATATATAGTCTCTCACTGCTTCAATGATAATGGAAAACCCAGGATATCGCGTTTCCACGCCCTTTTTCTATTACGTTATTTCGCTTCAGAAATAAACCCGAGTTCGAGAGGACTCTCTCCGGCAGATTGTAAATTGGTTTTGGAAAAATGAGAAATCGTGTCCGCGCCACCCGTAAACCTATTTACATTAAAAACGAACGAAAAAAGAAACACCGAATAACGGTACAGTTTCTTCGATACCTTTTTACCATATATACTGTCGTAAGAAAGTTTTGGGCACAGTAGTCGAAGTAATTTTTTATCTTTTACAAAAAAAAAATTAAAATACTTATATCCTAAAACAATTAACATAAAAGTTATTCCAATTGCAAGTTTCTTCTTGCTTTAAGTAGTATCCGTGAAATGTGTGTGACGTATAGTAAACTTTTTACCAACAGTGCAACACATATATGAAAAGAAAAAGAAAATTTAATTTATCCTGGCAGTCTTTCGATTACGAAGAACCAATAATACGTCATATTTGCCGGTTCGATCGACTCTTGGAAACATAAGACTTTTCCAACCCTATACAATTGTTATATAATTCTCGTTTCAGGCTGCATGTAAGATAACGTCGCTAAAGGCCATCCCTAAGATGAGGCGAACACCATTTGCAAACTTTTTACGTTTTACCTTAGGAGCAGCCGGTCTTAAATCCGATAGTTGGCGCTGATCCAGTCAGTTCGAGTTATCGATGTCAACGAGAAATATCCGTTTAATTGCAACGTCGCGACTGCAGGGTATAAAGATCTCGATGTCCGTTTCTTTTTTGTGGATGACTCAAGGAAAATAGAAAGGAAAAAAAAAGTTTCTTTTTCCCCTTTGCAGGCGAAAAGGAATGTCAAATGTTAATGAGAATGGGAACCTGCAGACGTTGCGTCGTGTTTGGAAAGTCTCAAAGAATCGGGCGACAGAAAACAAAAGGGGTCACAATCCCAATGACGAACGTAAGAGGTTACACAAACCGTGAGTTTTTCTCATTGGTATATGAGAGAAATTTTAACGGAATTTAACGTGCACGCGGCGCTGCAAACGCTTGTAACTAGTTTAGCGAGTCTTGAAACAAGAAACGACAAGAAAACATACATAAAAGTACAAACGAGTCCTTCGCGACGGGATGTTTGTTTCAACTTGTGCGCGGTTATTGTTAAAATATCACGTAATTATCAGATTGATAAAAATATAATTAAATGTTATGAAAACACATTTTTTATATTTCTTGAGGAAATTTCATTAGATAACAGTTGAAATAAAAGATTATATTCATTTCTGTGATATTGACACTTAAAATTGCACACTTGGACGATTGAGATAATTTTTTTCACGCTCTTTAAGTCTATCATGGCGTGTAGCGGTCACGTTGTGCCAGTTTGTTTATCATCGGGCATCTATTCATTTATGGAAATGGATACGCAAGGTAAATTAATAACATTGCACGAAATATTTATTCTTCGTGACGTCCCTAACGTTCGTGGCGTTCCACTTCGATATTTCAAGGCAGGGAAAGCTATGTCGGCTTCCTGGGGCTGAACGCCCCGTAATGACTCAATTTCTTCAAATCCGTGAAGGAAAAACGATTACCAACCAATTAAGAAAGTGCTTCATGGGGCTAAAGCGTTTAGCATTCGATTTACGACTATCATTAACCGTGATTAAAAATCTAGGTTTTTTAAGTTCTAATTTTTGGATTTGTAAATACGCATGTGCTAATTATAATAAAAGTGACTAAAGTCATGTACGTTTCATTTCGAGATATTTCAAATTGGGTATTTTTACGTAGTAAAAAAGTGTTTGCTGTATTGTCAAAGCATTGAATTTGTAACTATTTTTCGACTATTTTCATGATCGTAGGTAATTAAAAATGCTTAATACTTCATTTTCTGACGAAATATTGGCAAAATGTATTTTTCAATTGGAATTTTTAAATGTTTAAAATAAATGTAATTTAATATCCTCGTATTTTTCGCGACTATAATTTCAACATGTTATGGGGGATAATAAGAAAGTAAGAATATCAGTAACAATCATTGACACCGACCGCAAGGAAGTCATTTACGGGTAGATTTACATTTGCCTAGGAAATTGCTAAATGGGCGCCGTCTCTAGCGTCAAAGGTGCTCGAGAGGCAATCCCCAAGTGTCCGTTACACCCATTTCATTTCTTTTGTATTACACCATTAATAAAATGCTAAAATAGATGGACAACTAACCTCGTTTGAAAAGAATTTAATAACGCGCGTCTGACCGTGTTCTAAATGCACGACTATAGACGATAAATAGGCAACCGTTCGAGCGAATATCATTGTCTATGGAAAAGCTCTTTTTTTTTTTTTTATTGTACGAACGGATACAGGGAGAGAACGCAATACGAATTAAAATATAATATCTGTCAACGAGCTCGACAATCCTAACAGGTAGGCAAATGATATTTCTGCGGACATTTACTAAACGACTACCGAGTAATGTTTCATAGACATATGTTCACGTAAGCGTTCGTACTTATCAGATGTCTCGTATCGTTGATCATTCTGACCGATTACCGGCTCTGCATCTGGTAACTAAATGTCATCGACATATAACGTTTGATCGTATCGATTCCTGGTCGTTTCGTAGGATAAACGATAATTCTCTAAATGCGCAATAATATCGTCTCCTAATTTCCTTCTATCGACATTAATAGACATATAGATGATCCTTTTCTACGGCATCGTACCACCTTCGTTTTCTTTTAAAGGGAATCAGGTTACCTCGTTGTTTTCGCTGTCAGTGCAAGGGTACGGGCGGTCGAAGCGCCCGCGTCGACGAGGGCGACGTCGTTATAACGATCGTCGTTGGTAAGCGAGCGTATCGAGGCCGTTTAACGTAAATCTCGTAACTAGAAACCGTTCACACTCGCTTCACGCACGTTAAAAACGTTCGAAACGCTTTCCACGCTAATCAATACGTTCGATGAAAGATGCTTCTCTTGAAATATGGGAGCGAACTGAGAAGATATAAATCCACACACACAGAACCAGAGTGCCGCACAATGTCGTCGATGACAGCAACCTAGTAGACGATTGAGAGATACACGACACTGGCAAGCTCGGTGTATATTTGACGATTTTCACGGGAAACCGATGAAGCGGTGCATGTTGGGCGGGCACCGTCTATCGTTTCGACCGATTGTGGAACTTCGACACCGGCATTCTATGTTTTCTGCCACTGTCATCACTGCCGTCACCATAACCATTACATCTGACACCTCTGAGCGCGAGATTACGCGTAACCGTGTACGGAAAACGATCTGTGATCTCGCAAGTCGCACTGCCGCGTATATCTATATCACATTTCTCACGCACTGCACGAGGGTGCCGTTGCACGACAGCGTGCTTTACACTTCGAACAGCACGACGAAGAGCCGAGTCGTCGAACGAGGTATTGTTCGATGATCGTCGAGAGACTTCGAGGCGTCGTCCCTTGACGGCGCCACGAGTCACCTCGCCGGTGGTGCCGTGAAATTTCAAGGCAACAACCACCGCAACGTGTATTGCAGGGAAACATCCACCATTCGGGGGTAAAGAGGATTGCTACGTTAGCGATTGTCAGAAAGAGTAAACCTTCGGAATTCGAACACGTGTTAGGAAGTTAAGTCGTGAAAATTCATGCCGCCCAATGTTTTCGTTGATCGCGATGCCATTCAGATATCGAGCATGTTCCATAGAGGGAGTTAATTATCATTGGGTAAACTTTAAACGACAATGAGATTGTGTCAGGAGAAATTTATTAATAAAAACATATGTTCCATGTACACTTAACCTTCAAACTACGCACAGTTTCTCTGTTTAACCTACAAATATGTGACAAAGTTTAATTTACTTCAGTTTTGCACAATTTTCTCATTGTTTACCCGCGATAGTGTGGAGTTATTAAACAGAAAGAAATATGTTGTGTACTTGTCATTTTTCATAAAAAGATAATCTCGATTTACGAGGTATGTACTAACCAACCGCATAAATCACGGGTTAAGCGTACACATCTTAGTACTCGTATTCAAGATACGTTTCTCGACTTACATACGATAAAACATAGTTTAAAATGAGAATCATTGATCGAATATAAACGAACCGATCATAATAAGATTACATCAGCCGGCGTCGGAGAGTTACCTGACGGTTCTCCGTTCACAGAAGTGCATCGGTAATCAATTTAATGAGTACTACTCACCTTGCATAGGACGCGTGGCAGCACTGCGCGACATTGTTTGCGTGGTCTATTAGGCTGCAGCTCGTAGTTAGGCGCTTTTGGACGGAGTAGTAGTCTGTGGATATGTTTCGCGTGGAAGGTGACTCCTCTTAAAAGTACTTTCCCGGCTCGGCGACGATTCGCAACGACCGGTGTCGTAAAAAATGCATCAAATTTACGGCACGACCGCCGTGGTGTAAAAGTGTGGGTAAAAAAGGACTTGCTGCCACCGTACGTTGAGAATATTATTCCTGCGTACGTTGGTACGTCTATTCTTCTTTTTGATGCTGTTGTTGTTCTTGTTCGAACGATGGTCCTCGTCAATGGACACCAGGAACGACTGGCGTTTCTCGATGTCAGTATCGACGACGTTGTTGTTGTTCCTGTGTAGTTCTTTAGATCGTTCTTTTTTCGCGAACGAACCGGTTCACCAATATCACCGTGTACGTGGTGATATTGTAGAATCGGGAATTGTTTCAATTTACGATGAAAAATACGAGAGAAATTGAGGCACGTGTAAGATAACGATGACGCGTAGGTGGTCGTTTCCGTCGTACGAGGAGCATCAAGCGGCGAGGTACGTCCCGATATTCGACGGGAACGTTGACGAGGATGCAGGACAATGAATGGCGCCCTTACGTTCAGGTTGGATATTCTGCGGCTAAATAATGGTAACAGGATATCCGGTGTGGGGGGTACGGAGGGTCCTTTGGGGGTGGCGTCCATGTGGGGTGGATGGTCACCTCCTTTCTTTCCTCTCTCCTACGAGCCACCTCCTCCTCCAGGACCTCCTCGTCAGGGTGCCCCAGCTTTTGGTGTCCGAGAACACCCCTCCTACCCGTCGCCAAGTCTCACCTACTCCCTCCCGCACGGAACTTTGCGAGCACACGCTGCAACAGCAAATGAATAAACGTCCAATTAAATATTAGTTTTTAATTAATTATAACAAAATTAATTTTAGTGAAATTTAAAACATTCATTT